AGTCAGCAGAGTCCTCTTGAATCCTTCGCTGAAGTTTCCAAAAATCCGCAGAAATTTCCTGAAATTCGCAAAATTTTCCAAAAGTTCGCAGACTTCCCTTAAGTTCCTAAAATTTTCTCGAGTTTTGGTAGAATCTTCCTGACGTTTGCAGATAAATTGAAAAGTTCGCAGACTTCCGTAAAATCCCCAAAAATGTACTGTGGTTAGCAGAATCTTCCTGAATATTCACGGAATATTCCTTATGTTCGCTGAATTTTTCCAAAGTTCGCAGAGTTTTCCTGAAGTTCGTCGACTTTTCTGTCCAGAATTTTTCTGCGGTTTGCGAAATCTGCCTGAAGTTCACAGAATTTTCTGGAAGTTCGCAGACTTCCTGAAGTTCGTAGAACTTTCCTGAAGCTCACAGACCTCTCTGACGTTCAAAGTTTTTTTGCTGAAGATCACAGACTTCCCTGAAGTTGCCAAACATTTCCTGGAGTTCACAGAACTTGCTTGAAGTATGCAGAGTTTTCCTGAAGTTTGCAGACTTCCCTGAAAATTCCACAATTTTCCTGAGGTTAGCAGAATCTTGCTGAAGTTTGCAATTTTTTCTAAAGTTCGTAGAATGTTCTTGAAGTTCGCAGACTTCCTTTAAGTTCTCAGAATTTTCCTGAGCTTAGCAGAATGTTTCTGAATTTCGCAGAAATTTCAAGGAGTTCACAGAATTTTTTTTTAAGTTCACAGACTTCTCTGAAATTCGCAGACTTCTCTCAAGTTCGTAGATTTTTCCTGAAGTTTGCAGACTGCTCTTAACTTCGTAGAAATTTCCTGAAGATTGCAGACATTCCTGAAGATTCCAGAACTTTTCTGAAGTTCACAGAATTTTCTTAAATTTTGAAGCATTTTCCTGAAGTTCACAGACTTTCCAGAAGTTCCCGGAAGTTAGCAGAATCTTCCTGAGGTTCGCTGAATTTTCCAGAAGTTCTTAGAATTCTCTGAATTGCACAGACTTCCCTGAAGTTCGTAGAATTTTCCTGAAGTTCCCAGAATTTTCCTGAGGTAAGGAGAATCTTTCTGAATTTCGCAGAATTTCTTTGAAGTTCGCAGACTTCCCTGAAGTTCTCCAAACTTTTGTGAAATTTGCAGAATCTTCATGAAGTTCGCCGAATTTTCGTTAACTTCGTAGTATTTTCATAAAGTTCACATAATTTTCCTGATGTTCACAGACTTCGCATAATGTCCCGGAATGATCCAGAAGTAAGCAAAAATTTTCTGAATTTTGTAGAATATTCATAAAGATCACAGAATTTTCTTGGAGTTCTTAGGCTTCCCTGAAGCTCAAAGACTTCTCTGAAGTTCATAGAATTTTCCTAAAGTTCACATACTTCCCTGAAGCTCACAGTCTGCTCTGAAGCTCACAGAGTTTTCCTCAAGTTCGCAGACTTCCCTGAAGCTCACAGACTTCTCTGAAGTTCGTAGAATTTTCCAGAAGATTGCAGATTTCCCTGAAGCTCCCAGAGTTATCCTGAAATTCCCAGAATTTTCTTGAAGTTTGCAGACTTCTCTGAAGTTCGTAGAATTTACCTGAGGTTGGCAAACTTCCCTGAAGCTCACAGTATTCTTTGAAGTTCGTTAATTTTTCTGAAGATTTCAGACTTCTCTGAAATTCCTAGAATTTTCCAGAAGTACATATAATTTTCTTGAAGTTTGCAAAGTTTTCCTGAAGCTCACAGACTTCCCTGAAGTTCCCCGAATTTTCGTTAAGTTAGCAGAATCTTCATGAATTTCACAGAATTTTCTTAAAGTTTGCGGAATTTTCTTGAAGTTCTTACAAATTTCTTGAAGTTTGCAGACTTCCTTTAAGTTCTCAGAATTTTCCTGAGATTAGCAGAATGTTCCTGAATTTTGCAGAAATTTCAAGGAGTTCACAGACTTCTCTGAAATTCGCAGACTTCTCTCAAGTTCGTAGAATTTACCTGAAGTTCGCAGACTTCTCTAAAGTTTGTAGAATTTTCCTTAAGATTGCATACATTCCTGAAGTTTCCAGAATTTTTCTGATGTTCACAGAATTTTCTTAAATTTTGAAGTATTTTCCTGAAGTTTACAGACTTTCCGGAAGTTCCCGGAAGTTAGCAGAATCTTCCTGAGGTTCGCTGAATTTTCTAGAAGTTCTTATAATTCTCTGAATTGCATAGACTTCATTGAAGTTCGTAGAATTGTCCTGAAGTTACCAGAATTTTCCTGAAGTAAAGAGAATCTTTCTGAATTTCGCTGAATTTTCTTGAAGTTCACAGACTTCCCTGAAGTTCTTTAAACTTTTTTGAGGTTTGCAGAATCTTCATGAAGTTCGCTGAATTTTCGTTAACTTCGTAGTACTTTCATGAAGTTCACACAATTTTCCTGATGTTCACAGACATCCCTGAAGTTCCCAGAATGATCCAGAAGTTAGCTAAATCTTTCTGAATTTAGATCAGAAGAATTTTCTTGGAGCTCTTAGGCTTAGTTCATAGAATTTTCCTGAAGTTCATATACTTCCCTGAAGCTCGCAGACTTCTCTGAAGTTCGTAGAATTTTCTAGAAGATTGCAGACTTCCCTGAAGCTCCCAGAATTTTCCTTAAGTTCACAGAATTTTCTTGAAGTTTGCAGAATTCTCTGAAGTTCGTGAAATTTACCTGAAGTTGACAAGCTTCCTTGAAGCTCACAGACTTCTTTGAAGTTGGTTGAATTTTTTTGAAGATTTCAGACTTCCCTGAAATTTCTAGAATTTTCCAGAAGTACATATAATTTTCTTGAAGATTGCAAAAATTTCCTGAAGCTCACAGGCTTCTCTGAAGTTCGTAGAATTTTTCGGTAGTTCACAGACTTCCCTGAAATTCGAAGACTCCCCTGAAGCTCAAAGACATCTCTGAATTTCATTGAATTTTCTTGAAGAATCCTGACTTCCCTGAAGTTCCCAGAAGTTCACATAATTGTCTTGAAGTGTACAGATTTTTTTCTGAGTTCTCAGACTTCACTGAAGTTTCCAGAATGTTCCTTATGCTCGCAGAATTTGCTTGAAATTTGCAAAATGTTCCTGAAGTTCGCAGACTTTCGTAAAATTCACACGTATTTTTTTCTGATGTTTGCAGATTTCCCTGAAGTTCTCAGAATTTTCTTAAGGTAAGTAGAATCTTTCTAAATTTTTTAGAATTTTCATGAAGTTCACAGAATTTTCTAGAAGTTCAAAGACTTCTCTGAATTTCGCAGACTTCCCTCAAGTACGTAAGTTAAGTTAAGTTGTCTTTATTAGGGAGGCTTTCAGCCTGAGGCTGGTTCGCCTCCGGTTCAAGTTAGTAAAATTTCCCTGAAGTTCGCAGACTTCCCTGAAGCTCACAGACTTCTCTGAACTTCCTAGAATTTTCCAGAAGATTGCAGACATCCCTGAAGTTTGCAGAATTTTCCAAGAGTTCACAGAATTTTCTTGAACTTTATCAAATTTTCGTGATGTTCGCTGACTTTCCTGAAGTTCCCCGAATTTTAGCAGAATCTTCATGACTTTCACAGAATTTTCTTAAAGTTTGCAGAATTTTCTTAAAGTTCACAAAAATGTCTTGAAGTTCACAGACTTTCCTGAAGTTTCTAGAATTTTTCTGAGGTTAAAAGAAACTTGCTGAAGTTCCCAGGATTTTCATGTAGTTCACAGACTTTTCTGAAGTTCATAGAATTTACCTGAAGTTGGCAGACTTCCCTGAAGCTCGCAGACTTCTTTGCATTTCTTTGATTTTTCTGAAGATTTCAGACTTCCCTGAAATTCCCACGATTTACCAGAGGTTTACACAATTTTCTGAAGTTCGCAGACTTTCCTGAAGTTCGTAGAATTTTTCTGTAGTTCACAGACTTCCCTGAAGCTCAAAGACATATCTGAAGTTCATTGAATTTTCCTGAAGAATCCTGACTTCCCTGAAGTTCACAAATGTTTCCAAAAGTTCACGGAATTGCCTTAAATTATCCAGATTTTTTTCTGAAGTTCTCAGACTTCCCTGAAGTTTCAGAATTTTTCTTATGCTCGCAGAATTTTCTTGAAATTTACAAAATGTTCCTGAATTTTGCAGACTTTCCTGAAATTCACACATTTTTTCTGAAGTTCGTAGACTTCCCTGAAGTTCCCAGACTTTGCTGAGGTACGCAGAATTTTCATGAAGTTCACAGACTTCTCTGAATTTCGCAGACTTCCCTCAAGTTAATAAAATTTCCCTAGAGTTCGCAGACTTCTCTGAAGCTCACAGACTTCTCTGAACTTCCTAGAATTTTCCAGAAGATTGCAGACCCCTAGTTCACAGAATTTTCCTGGAGTTCACAGAATTTTCTTAAGGTTTACCAAATTTTCGTGATGTTCGCAGACTTCCCTGAAGTTCCCCGAATTTTTGCTAGGTTAGCAGAATCTTCATTAATTTCGCAGAATTTTCTTAAAGTTTGCAGAATTTTCTTGAAGTTCACACAATTTTCATGAAGTTCACAGATTTTACCAGATGTTGGCAGACTTCCCTGAAGTTCCCCGAATTTTCGTTTGGTTCGTAGAATTTTCATGAATTTCGCAGAATTTTATTAAAATTTGCAGAATTTGTGAACTTCAACACACAATTTTCGTAAAGATCGCAAACTTTCTTGAAGTTCGTAAAGATCGCAAACTTTCTTGAAGTTCTTGTCTGAGGTTAGCAGAATCTTACTGAAGTTCCCAGAATTTTCATTAAGTTGATAGATTTTCCTTGAAGTTCGCAGACTTTTCTAAAGTACGTAGAACTTACTTGAAGTTCGCAGTCTTTTCTGAAGCTCACAGGCTTATATGAAGTTCGTTGAACTTTTCTGAAGATTTCAGACTTCCCTAAAATTTCCAGAAGTTCACATAATTCTCATGAAGTTCGCAGACTTCCCTGAAGTTCTCCGAACTTTTGTGAGCTTTGCAGAATCTTCATGAAGTTCGTAGAATTTTCCTAAACTTAGCAGATTTTTTTTTTTTTTAAATCTGCGCCGATGCGAAGTTACCTCATTATTTTCATGAACTTTAAACTGCTTGGAAAAACCGTGATGATTCATAAAATTTATAAAATCATCAACATTATCAATCACAACCACATTCTATTGAACCCACCGTGCGCGGCAGCTCGTCACCCAAATAGGTATCGAATTGGTACCAGCGGCGAATCAAAAACAAACTCCCCACCCGGTGGGGATACCAATTCCATACCTGTGCAATTCCGCCAGAAGAGAACCCTTTCCAAAGCCTACTTACACTAATCCACCGACCGAATCCTCCCCTAGTAAAACATAATCTTAAAAATGCATTTTCAGTTTGAGCGCAATCATAGATCCTCTTTATAATCAACAAAAGCGATTGAAGAAAATGCCGCTGCTACGAGATTTCTGTCCAGATACTGCTTCCCCTTTCCTAACATTTGAAATCTACCGATTCCATCTCACTATCTTTACACCCGCCGCACCCACCGATCGATTCTTCCGGTTCTTCCTCGCCGGAAGCAGCGCTACCGTTGCTAATCTGACCGCCGATGGAAGCGGGCCCACTGGCGGGACCCGCACCGCCGGCACTGAACGACCCTCACCCGGTACTACCGAGCCCGGGATTTCCGGCATCCTCCGGCGCTGTCGCTGTCACTGCGGGTGCCGTCCCCGTCGTCGTACTGCTACCGCTACAGGTTGGTCCAAACTTACTACTAATCTTGTGCGACACGCTCACGATGGCCATCTCGTGCTTCGAGTCCAGATCACAGTCGTACAGGCCGCTCAGCGAGTCCAAGCTCAGCAGGCGGCTGCTGGCGCGGGACGAAATTGAGGTATCGTCCACGTCCGGTGCATTGTAGAGGGAGTTCACATCCGAGAGGGCACCTTCCGCATCCGTCAGACCAGCTTCGTTCAGCAGCGAGATGTTCTCGAGACCGGGCTCGTCCGTGATGTAGCCGGTGCTTTCGGCACCACCTTTAAAAAAAAGAAAAGATTAGCGAAAACATAGACGCGGAATTGCATCCGAAGGAACTCACCCGTCGCCTCTTCGCGGCACTCGTCGTCACTCCACTCCGATTGGCTCTCCACCGGGTTCGAATCCAGCGACTGGTGGTTGTGATGCGAGCTATGACTATTGTTGTGATGACTATGACTGTGATGGCTGTGGTCCCGGTCTCGCGAGTGTCCCGCACCGTACTTCAGTTCGTCCGAGATGTAGTTCCTCGTGGCATCACAGCTTCCCGTCCGCGATCGTTCCCCCGCACTTAAACCCCTCCGGACCGCGTTCCGTCTTGCTTCCCGTTCATTCTCCTCCTCCTCTTCGTCGTCATCATCGTCTTCCGATTCCTCCTCTTCAACCTCCTCCTCGTCTTCCGGTTCATCGTCGTCGAGAAGATCGTCCGAGTCCCGACCTCGCCCCCGATAGATAGCTTCGTTCGACAGCCGCAGATCTTCGTCCGCTTCGATGTTGGACGACGTCTCGTTGGAGGACTTTTTCGTCGCATTGTACTTGTGGTGATGGTTCCGCGGATGCATCCGAGGCGATTGCGACAGCGCATGATGATGGTGCGGCCGGTGGTGGTGATGGTGTTGGTGGGGCTGTCGGTGGTCTATCGAACCGGGACCACCACCGCCGGACGCCGTCGACCGGTAGTCATGGATGATTTCGCACGATTCCGTATCGGAGGTTTGCCTGCAAAAGAAAATGATGAAAGATTAGCGGAAACAAGAATGGGGCGCAATTCATGCCGAACTCACATATGACTCGACTCGGAGGGGTTCTTGTTCCGGGTGGCTTCCTTGATCGCTTCCAACGTGCCGGGGTGCTTCGCCAGCAACAGGTTGTTGACGTTCTTGACCTTCTCGACGGAATCCCGTCGCACTGGAGGCAGTTCCGTTTGGTGATCAAGGTTGTTATTACCGGCGCCTCCGTTAGCAGCGGAAGCTAGCATCGGTCGAGATTGCGACTCGGCGAGCCTTCGTTGCAGTTCCCGTTCGAAGGGTGACTTGGGGAAGTTGGTTGGTGGTTGGAGTGGAGGAGCGGCCTTGTCAAGGAACTCGAAACTATTGCACGATTCGCCCTTGTTCGGCACCGAGGACTTGGTTTCCGCCGTCGTGGTCACCTCGAAGTCCTTCATGTTGGCGAAATCGATCGGGCTGAGCTTGGGCGGGGAGGTCGGGTCGACCTGGATGTCGCCCGGGTAGAGGTACTGCAGCGGATTGTTGAAGTTGTTCGCGTAGGACGACCGGGCCGGAAATGGCGAATGGCCGTCCAGCTCTTCACCTTCGGTGGTTTTGGAGTAGCTTTCGTCCGAGGACGACACGGAAGGCGAACGTGGTCGGGAGCTGAGATCATCCGTGGAGGACATCTCCCGGGATTCGTCGAATTCGTGCGGAAGCTTGGGCAAGGGTTTGATGTACTGCTTAAGGAGTTGCTGTTGTTGTTGTTGTTGCTGCTGCTGATAGAGTTGGTGCTGTCTGGCAAGATGAGGAGGTGGTGGTTGCTGTTGATGGTAGTTTGGTGCTACAGGGAAGTTGTAGTTGGCGTTGTTGTTCATCGGTTGATGAGGAAAGGCGGAACTTCCGATTGCATAGCGCGGAGGTTCGTATTTGGGGATCTGCTGAATCTGCTGGATAGGTTTGATGACGGCATTGCCGACTATGCCCGAGCCCAGCAGGGGTTCGTTCTCCGACGCGGTTACGTATCGATTGCTAGGATTATGGCTGGTGCTACCCGGTCCGGCTTCGTGCCGATGGTGATGATGATGATGGTGATTTTTGTTGTTCCGTACTTTGTGTCCACTGTGGTTCAACTTGTTGAAATTGTTCTCGTCCACATCCTTCACGTTGGGGTTTTCGATGATGTTGAAATTCTCCCGAATGTTGTAGCTGGGTTGGTGCTGACCACCAGCAACCGAACCGTTGCCAGGATGATAGTCGTTTCGTTTACCGTAGTTGTTGTTATTGTTGTTGTTGTTGTTGTGATTCGTTGGTTGATTGTGATGGTTGCCAAGGTAGCCAGCGCTAATGTGATTGTTGTTGATGTTGTTGTGCTTATAGGCGACCTTCATCTGTGCTTGCTGTTGTAGCTGGTGCGGCTGTTGATGCTGTTGTTGAAGTTGTTGCTGAAAATGGTGCTGCCCTACCGGAGGTTGTTGATGAAGCAAATTTGGGCTTTCCATGAAATTGTAGCTCTCCTTTTTCGAGAAGCTATCGGTCCCTAGCTGCCACTTGGTATTCTTCATGCTTCCGCTGTCCATGTCCGTCCGTTTCATGTAGTAGCTCTGCGGTTGCAGGACGGGAGCTGGCGCTTGAAAGCACCCCTGTTGACTAATGTTCATGTGGTGGAAGCTGTCCGTTTGGTAGTTGGAGATGATATTCGGAGCTGGAGTCTGCCGATCCCGATTACTACCGGTACCGCTCATCCCTCCGATCGCTCCACCCCCGTTCAACATGTTCTCGTTCTGTTCGCATAGGAAATACGTCACCATATCACCCTTTCCCTTTACCTTAATCTGTCCCCGGCACCGGAACTCGAAGTGACTACCCTGCAAGCTATCGATCACCTCCTGAGTGACCTGCGTATATCCGGGAATACCCGTCGAGTCCATCCTACTAGCCACGTTGACCGTATTGCCCCAAATATCGTACTGAGGCTTCCTAGCCCCAATTACACCGGCTACTACCGGTCCCACGTTCACTCCGACCCTCAGCATGAAGTTGTTGTAGGAATTCTCGTTGATATTCTTCAACGTGACCCGCATGGCTTTCACGAAGTCGATCAATGCCGTCATCAGCTTCCGTGTCGAACTTTGATCGTTCGGTAGCATCTTGAACTCCGGGATTAACCCCACCGCCGCCATGTACGTACTGCCCACGGTCTTGATCTTATCCATTGCCTGAAACCGCTCCTCACATAGTAGTTCGTCAAAATCCGCGATGATCTCGTTCAACAGCCGCAGACACTCGACGCCCTGGTTGGACCCATCCAGCTCCGTGTAGAACTCGTGGAAGTTCGGCACACTGGCAAAGATCACACCCACCTTGCTGTAGCTCTGATGATACAGATCCTGGTTTCCACCGAGAGTACCCTGCGAATTAGACTGGGGCTGTTCTTAAACAAACCAGCACATGCACGCCAAAGCTACTCACCATGTTGTTCCGACTGAAGTGGTTATCCAGGAAGTGCGATGCCACGTGCGACGGCAGCAGGTTGTAGAGGATCCTCCGGTTCGACTGCTGCAGCACCGACATCTCCTTCTTCTCCTGCGATGCTTGCAGCTGCCACAGAAAGTCCAGCCGAGCCGTCCACTCAACCTGCCGCCCGTGGGCCAAGATCGCGATCATGAAGATGATGATCCTCGCCAGCGAAATCGTGTGCAACGGAATGGCAGACTCCACCCGCTGGTCGTAGCAGTCGAAGATGTTCGTGTGCGACAACTCGATGAACAGACAGTACATGACTCCCATCAGCGTCACCAGGAAGGTTTTCACCATGATCGGCAGCCTGCGGAAGAAGGTTAGCATTGTCTAAGACCTGAAAAGATCATGCATGATGGGACTTTTGTAGGGGTACCTCAAGAAGATCGACACGGTCAGGAAGGAGAACGCCGCCGATAGGGAAATGTACTGCGGTAGAGCACACTTCCGGTGGGCATAGTTGACTCCGGGAGATCCTAGCGGAGGCGGCGGGAGTACCCCGGCTCCGGTTCCATCCGGGAAGGGTACGTTCGTCTCGTGCGATGCCAGCACCGAAGAGGAGGAAGACGCCGCCGCCGGATCGTGATGGAACAGATCCGGAACGGCTTTGGTCGTGAAGTTAGTAGTACAGGGATGGTCCGAGAGGCAGGTGAACTGGAAAGGGGACACACGCTTGTGGGTTAGTTCTAGACTTGATTGAGGTTAGAATGGCAACGACCTACCACATTGACCTGCCCGACCGAGTAGAGCAGCACAATCGTGAAGATGGTGATGGCCAGGCGTAACGAGAAGCTCTGCGACAGGTCCCAGAAGATCCACTTTAGTCTTACGGCTAGCAGTAACATCAGGATCGAACTGATCCAAATAAACGCAGTCAAAAACAGCAGTAACAGTATTAAGGTACGAGGTAGCGCCGAAATCTAAACGCAAGAAAAAGATAATCATTAGAGTTATTGGAAGAAATCGTCGATCTGCAGGTAATTCAACCTGAAGTCCGGCGCTGAGTATCAACAGCAGCAAGCTGCAGCCCATGGCGGTGGTGAAGCCCAGATCGAAGTCCTGGTGGTACTGACGTTCCTTGTCCTTCTCGCGGAACTGCAGCGTGATCCGCTTGACGTGGACCGACTTCTCCCGATCGACGCTCCGGGCCTCGATGGCCTGCGAGAGGAACTTGTTGACCCGGTTCGATGGCTGGTGGTAGACGCTGGAGTGGCGCTTCTTGAACGGTCGCTTGAATTTGTCCGTTACCTTGTTCTGGAGGATAGTTGGGCGGAAATCATTGAGTGAGTACATTGGGCTTGGAACATTATTCTAAAGCGCATTGCTTGAGATTGAACAAATGGAAGCTACTACAGCGCAAACCAAGACTACGCACGGATGAGGCGAACATATGGCAGAGACATCTATAAGCATGGGTGTGTACTACGAATTTAGAGCGGTTAAGAAAGTAGAATGATTGCTCACCAAGTTCAAATGGAGCTTTAGGTTGCAAGTGATAGATGCGTGCATTTGGGAAAGAGTGCAAGCACTGGTAAACAAGTTTGAGGTGAATCATTTTGATAGACACACAGGAAAGGCTCACATCTCGCACGCGCTCACAGACACTCTCTTTCTCACTCAAATTCATACGCAGTCGAAATTTCAATCACGCGAATTTGTTCTCTCGAATCGATGCTCTTTCAAATCTATGGTCTCACGAATCTACGCTTAGGCGAACCTACGGTCTCTCAAGTTTCATAGAATCTGCACTCTCTCGGATCTAAGCTCTCTCGAATGTGGGCTCTTTCGAATGTTCGCTCTTGACTCTACGTTCTCACTCGAATCTATCTTATCGTTGCAAGTTTTCAGTGCAAAATGGGAGATGAAAAAGCATTTTCTTTGGTTTTTGGAGAGAGATATTAATGAATTATGCGTGAAAAAAGAGAGATGAAAATGTGAACGGTTCACAACTCATCAAAAAGTTGCTTGAGTGAGTGCCCCAGATTCTTCAAAATTTAAAAATACAAGAACCCTACAGTTCTAATATGTCATATAAATTTGATCTATTTTAAATTAACAATTACGTGAACATAAATTAAGATTCTAAGACTTCAATGTGAATGTGAATATCCTGAAAATAGATGACTAATTGAAATATTTAAAATGCGACACTTTTTACATTTCGAATATTTCAATTACTCGTCCATCTTCAGGATATTCAAATTCATATTGAAGTATCAAAATCTTAATTTTTGTCCAAGTCAGATTTATCTTGGAACCGTACACAGGATTTCTTTGGGATTTGTTCCAGAATTTCTTAAAAATATACCAAGAAATCTACCGTGGGACTCCAACACTATTTGGTAATACCCACATATTTTTCTTCAAAACACTCTAGAAATTATCTGAAGAAAACACACGCTTGAAATTCACTGTGCAGTTCGCTTAGAATTCCTAATAATTTTAGCATAATTACCTTAAAATTTTCCTCAGTTTTTTTGTCTGATATTTTTTTTTAAATCTGCTCAGGAATTCCTCAAAATATACATCAGAATTCATGGAATTCCACTTTAAGTTTCTATGAAATTATCATAGGAATTGCATTGGAATTCCTTTCAAGCTCTCTTAAGAATTCCATTGGAAATTTCTTCAGAACTTCTTTGGAATACACCTTAAAATTAATTTGGATTTATCCTCAGAACTTCTGTCGATCGAGATTATAGCCAGAACTCCCTTGGAATTCTCTTAAGAATTTATTTAAAATTCGCCTTAAAATTCAACTGTAACTTTGCTCACAATTCCTACTCAATATTTCTAGACATTCATTAAATCTTCTGCTCTTCTTTAGTGGAATCATGCTTCGATCCCCCGTTGAATTTCACCTCAGAATTCAATTAGAATGCTCTCAGAATTCCTTTGGAATGATTCTCACATTTGCTTAGACATTATGCTTAATATTCTTTAGGCTCTTCTTCTCCCTTTGAAGTTCTACTTAGATTTAAATTGAAGCTCATTCTCGATTGAATTATTCTCAGAATTACTTAGGAATTCTTCTCAGAACTCTCCCTTGGAAATCTCCTGAGCATTTACCAGGAATCAAAAGGCTTCTGAAAAACTAGAATGGACTTCCAGTTCGAACTCTCTTAGTATATTCCTTGGAATTCCCTTTAAGTTCGCCTCAAAATTCATCAGAAATTCCAGAATCATGAATATTTTCTATGAATCTTGAAATTTTTCCAAGATCCATTATATTGATACTTGTTTTCCGTAATCTGGGGTCTTGGAAAACATTTCAAGATCCGTAATCTGCATCTTCGTTCCAGAATCTTGAAAGTTGCTTCAAGCTTATTTTTTTACTGTCCAAGGTTTGAAAAATTTTCTTCAGCCACTTTTTTTCAGAATCTGAGGAATCTGACTCAGGATTTTGAAATTTGAACTAAATCTCACAGTCTTAAAGATTCTTCAATCAATAAAATCTTGAAAAATTTGTCTCGGATCAACAATCTTCATTCCTTATGTTTGCAAAATTTGAAAACCTTTAGAGATCGGGCTCGTAAAAAAAGTTAATTCTAGTAAGTACCTGAAATTATAAAATAATTCTAGATTCTTGAACTTCCAACATTAAACTGAAAATTCATTAAGCTACTGCGCAAGTAAAATTGAAAACTTGGTAGAGGTTTATAGCTTTCTACAAGCATAAATTATGGGCTACATAACCATCGTAAGTCCAAAATTGTTACTTGGGTGAATTAGGGGTAGCATTTTCCCTATAACACACTTTTCTGATTTTATGATTATGAATCATGACATCAATTTAAAAATATATATATTTATCAGCCTTTCCATAGCAAAACGATATAGTGGTAAAATTGGTAGTTTTTCTCCTTATCGCAAAATATTAGACACGTATGTTATTTTGTCATTAGGGTGAGCATTGCCAAATGATTTTTTCTTAAAATTCATAACTTTTGAACCAAATTTCAAAGATCAAAATATCAAATAAAAGGTAATCAAAATACTTTCAAAATGGTATAAAAAATCGGGATTATGTAGTCAATTGTGTTTCTTGTTATCAAGTCACGATGAACATTCCTCCTGTCAAACATGACTTGGCTACCGCTTGTTTCGTTCATCAAATTAATCAGTTCATTTCATTTGAAGTAAAGACTTGTGTCAATTGACGCAACGAATGACTCTAAAACTGCTCCCTTCGTTTTTTTCCACTTTCACTTCAATTCGTTGATCATTCGACTTTTCACGCGTCGCGTCGTCAGGCGTATAAATATAGTATCCTCACAATATCGGTTGCAGTTATGGATAGGGATAGGGATTTGACGCCATTTTGGAATCCAAGATGGTGGCCATCGGGTTTCAGCAAAAGAGTCAAATACCCAGGAAAATACCCTAACACAGTATTTTTGGAATGAAGATGATATCGATTTCTGGCCTCTAGACGTCACCTCGATTAAAAAAATACCCATATTGATTGGCATTTCACAGTATTTCCCACTTTATCTGAAATCGCACGGCGCCATCTTGGATTTCAAAATGACGTCGGATATCAATTTGCATTTTCCCGATCCCAAAAATACCTATATTAATGGGTATTTGACAGTACTGCCCACTTTTTCTAAAACTGAAAGCCGCCATATTGGATTTCAAAATGGCGTTGCATATCAATTTTCGATCTCTAGACTTCACCCCGATTAAAAAAAAATACTAAAATACCAGTATTTCCATATTTTTTCCTGAAATCGGAAGCCGCCATCTTGAATTTCAAAATGTAGATGGATACACATTTTCAGCCTCTGGACATCATCACGATACCAAAAATACTTATTTAATGGGCATTTTACAGTAATCTCCACTTTTTTAGACTGGAAGCCGCCATCTTGGCTTATAAGATGGCGTCACGTATCGATTTTCGATCTTTAGACGTCACCTCGATTCCAAAAATACCCATATTGATGGGTAAACAATCCACCCGACAATGATAAATTTGACATTCACGTGCAAAGATCTATGCGCATGCGCTTAAATGAACCGAGTGAACAATCAACAACATTCAGAAAAAAAAAACTGCGCCAATTTGTATCGAACAGCTTCGCTTCAATGCGAAAGTAAGTTCATTTGACAATGAATCAAGCCAAATCAAACGGCATGGAAACTGATCGAAAGTGGTTCTGTTGATGTTGAAGGGGATCTGCTCGAAGAGAAGACAGAATTACTGTCAATTGAAAGTGATCGTTGACAGCATTGTCGTCGCTTGACGAGTTTCGATTGAAAGTGATTTTGTTGGGACCCGATTGTGAGAATTTCTGAAGAATTGAGAGGAAAACATAAAGTATTCTGAAGGTGCCGCCACACGGCGCATGATATTTATGTTATAGTTCTCTATGACATAGCCGATTTAGATTTCTAAAGGTGCCGCCACACGGAGGCTATTTCTAGTATATAGCGAGCTATGTTATAGAAAACTATATTATAGCCCATAAAAAACACCTAAACTATGACGTGATAGCTCATAGTTATGACTTACAAGTTATAGTTTAGAGCTATGCCATAGAGCCGAATTCGTTGTCGTGTGTACAGTCTAGCGATAGTTTCTAAATCATAGTTGCAAGCTATAAACTATTCCATCAAGCCGGAATAGTTCATAGTTTATTGGTCATAGTTTTATGACAGCAGTCTGTGCGCGGTGTTTTTGTTTTTGTTTATGAAACCACTCATAGACATCTTATCCAAATGAATTCAGAGTTGTGTTCGGAATATGGACTCTGGAGACTAGGGGATGGTCCACCGGAAGATCCGGAAGATCCGGAACATCCGGAAAAGTGCTCAGTTAATGAAACTGATCGTAGAGCTCCACGGTTTTTTAGAAACCAATCATAGACGTATTATCACAATAAATTCGGAGTTGTGACCAGAACATTTATACTGGGGACCACGGGATGGTCCACTAAAAGATCCGGAACATCCGTAAAAGTGGTCAATTCATGAAACTGATCCTAGAGCTCCGTGTTTTTTTTTTTTAGAAACCCCTCATGGACATCTTATCAAAATAAATTTGGTCAAGGGATGCTGGGGACCACGGGATGGTTCACTTATAGATCCGGAACATTGGTTAAAGTGACCAATTCATGAAACTGATCGTAGAGCTCTACGGTAGAAATCACTCATAAACGACTTATCACCACAGACAAACAGACGTAACTCTTTGAAAAAAAATTCTTGGAAACATCCCAAGTAACGTTTCAAGTTTTATGAAATACTAC